ATATATATAAGCAGAAGATAAACATTTTTTAAATGGTAAATATTTTACATTTTTTAAACGGTTTCCTTTTATAACAATGGTCATTAGATGTTTTCGTGATGATTATGATTTAATCAGATATTTGTAAACCTATTGTAAATATATTCAGAGCTGAAGGGGCGGGGTTGCAACTGTTACGCCTAACAATGCCTTTAGCCATGACTATATATATAATATAGCAAAACATGTTGTAACCTATTGCTAAATTAAATTTAATGTGACGCTTTCCAGATCTGTTCTTTTGCAGACATCTAGACATATGTGTGCTTAGTTGGGTTGTTGATATGAGATGTTTATTTCCATCTGGCCACCATTTTCCAGCATTTATATGACGGTTTGAGGTTTAGAGATCAGTTCTGAATTGAGATTATAGAATATTTATTAGTTTTGTGTCCCATGAGCCGTAGACTTGTTGTTAGCAGCAAAGGTGAACTTTTTACTTCATATGAGGTCAAAAACTGTGGATTGACTTACTAGTGATGCCCTCTGTCATGATATCAGTCATTTTGCAGCAAGAGGACAGCATCCTCATGCTGAGCTGGTCCACAATCAAAGCCTACAGAGAAAAACAGAGAGCAGAAGTAATGAGAGAGTCTCAGAAACACACATTACTGCAACAGAAAGGTCCGTTGCTTTTGCTTATGCAGGCAGTGTGAAAACTGTTATTTATTAATATGGGCACCGAAATAAATATGCATGTGGCGTGATACAGGCAGAACAGGATGGATGAAATTGTTTGGGCTTAATTATTCACACTGATTTCCTGTCTGCGGCTCGGGGACTCACTGAAAGATTAAAACTGTGTTGCGGTGACATAAGGATAGAGTGGTTGCTATGGTGATGGGGTTATTGAGTTTGTCTTACCTTCCATTCTCCCTTCTTCTTCACCTTCTTGATGACATCATTCATAATCTCTGCAGGAAGAAGAGAAACGTTTTTCAAACAGCTGATATTAGTGGTTCATACACTTTTTTCACTAGTCATATCCATGTTTAAACCACAAATACATGTTGTATTAGTGATAAATATTATTCCAGTTTAAAATAACTTTTTTCTATTTTAAAGTGTAATTTATTCCTGTGATGGTAAAGCTTAATGTTCAGCAGTCATCAGTCTCAGTGTCACATGATCCTTCAGAAATCATTCTAATATGCTGCTCAAGAAACATTTCTTGTTATTATTAATTATTCACACTGATTTCCTGTCTGCGGCTCGGGGACTCAATGAAAGATTAAAACTGTGTTGCGGTGACGTAAGGATAGAGTGGTTGCTATGGTGATGGGGTTATTGAGTTTGTCTTACCTTCCATTCTCCCTTCTTCTTCACCTTCTTGATGACATCATTCATAATCTCTGCAGGAAGAAGAGAAACGTTTTTCAAACAGCTGATATTAGTGGTTCATACACTTTTTTCACTAGTCATATCCATGTTTAAACCACAAATACATGTTGTATTAGTGATAAATATTATTCCAGTTTAAAATAACTTTTTTCTATTTTAAAGTGTAATTTATTCCTGTGATGGTAAAGCTTAATGTTCAGCAGTCATCAGTCTCAGTGTCACATGATCCTTCAGAAATCATTCTAATATGCTGCTCAAGAAACATTTCTTGTTATTATCAATGTTGAAAACAGTTGTGCTGCTTATTATTTTTATGGAAACTGATACATGATTCTTTGGTCAATAGAATGGCATTTATTTGAAATGGACACATTTTGTAACATTATTTAACATGTTTATGTCATTTTTGATCAACTTAATCATCCTTGCTTAAACAAATTGTACTGTATGTATTTTAGATTTAGTGTAAATAGCCGCTGCCTTAATTGAATAGTTCTTTGACTGTTTAGAACAGCTCTAGATTCATCATAGGACATAAAATCATTATACAACAACATATGTGCCGGAATCATACACAACAAAACACTGCATTATATTTGACAGGAACCAGCTTGTGTGTTGGTTTATAAATTATGTTAATGGCTACTGATGTGTAGGAGGCAGATAAATATCTTACACGATCAAAAATATGAAGGTATTGGTGATGACACAATGTATATCTTTCTCTATCACTCTCTTTATCATCTCACACACCTGCTCTATTGCCATGCAAAGCCTCTAGCATTGTCGTGTGTGTGTGTGTGCTGTTGCAGCTGTCCCCTGTCACACCTGAGCCTGACTGCCCGCTGGTCCTTTACTAAAATGGATTATCTTTTGCTTTCTATCTCTCTCTCGCTTTTCTGCAGCAGAGATTTTTTGGTATCTGTTACTTCAAAATTCATAGACACGCCTTTCAATAAACGGGCACTCTGACTGCTGAAAAATAATCATATTCATGAAATCCAGTTCATCTGGGTTATTTTAACACTGTGATCAGGAATGTAACTCCAGGTGGGCGAGGCTGATTCTTATGAAACTTTACCCACCCAATCACAGAAATAAAGTCACATCAGGGAGATATAAAGTCACAATTACAAGAAAAAGGCAAAAATTGTATGTAAAGAGATGTAAAAGTCAAATTCTCAGATATAAAGTCACGACTGTGGGATATAAAATCCCAAGTATGAGGCGAAAAAAGGACAATTGTGAGATATAGTCACAAATATGTGAAAATGTTGATTGTGAGATATAAAGTGACTATTATGAGGGAAAAAGTAGCAGTTGTGATATACAGTATAAAGTCACAAATACAAGAAAAAAGTAAAATGTGAGATATAAAGTTAGATTGCCAGAAATAAAACGACAGTTATGTAAAGAAAAAAAAGCAGCAATTATGAAATGGTCAGTACTAGAAAAAAAAACATCAATTGTGAGATATAGTCACAATTATGTGAAAAAAAAGCATTGATTATGAAATACAATGTGGCAATTATGAGAAAAAGCAGCAATTGTGAGATATAAAGTTGCAATTACAAGAAAAAATATAAAGTCATATTGTGAGATATAAAATCACAATTATGAGGGGAAAAAATGACAGTTGTGAAATAAAATCAGATTGCGAGAGATAATTATGAGAAAAAAAGTGTCAATTGTGAGTTAGTCACACTATGAGATAGTCGAAATTACTAGAAAAAACATCAGGTGTGGTATATAAAATGTTATGTAAAATTATGTGTAAAAAGCAGATATTGTGAGATATAAAGTCATAATTCTGAGAACAAAAATGCCAGTTGTGAGATATATAGTCGCAATTATGTGAAAAAGTGTTGATTGTGATATAAAATGACAATTATGAGAAAAAGCGGATATCGTAAGATATAAAGTCACAATTACAAGAAAAAAGACCAATTGTAAGATATAAAGTCACAATTATAAGGATAAAAAAGCCAATTGCCAGATATAAAAGTGGCAATTATGAGGAAAAAACAGGCAATTGTGAAAAATAAAGTCGTAATTACTAGTAAAATTCACAAATGTTTTTTAAATAATTTGTTTTTATTAGTCCTATTGTGTTTGTTTGCTTTTTTCCCCATTATCTTATGCTAATGAAGTGTTATGCTGATGCTGAAAGCCATAATGCTCTGTATTAACAAAAAGGGAACTTATTCAGTGTGCACCCATTCCCTGTAAAGTGCATTTGTCGCAGATTGGGAAGCTGGGGCGCTATCAGATGTGAGACAGAGACAGCGATTCCTATGGCAGCCAACTGAATCTGTTTATCTTCAGAATCTCCCCCTGTTCAGATGCCATGATTGTGCTGCTTACAGACAATATTAAATGAACATAGCTGATCGTTGAGAATTGAATCTATGTAGAATCTCTATCTGTAACTAACTACTGCTTCTGCTCTATGGCTGATCTCTCTACTCACTCTGATGCAAGTAATCCCATCATGCAGGGATTGGGCGGAGGCGACCATTTTTGTGTGTTGGGGCCAATATTAGCATGATTGCAATGCTAGCCATCTGGTTGAAGTGTCAGAATAAAGGCGCTCAGGGTGATTTTGTGGTTTTGACATTTGTGCTGGTGCAGTGATAGAGAGTTAAGCTCCTCTGTGGATAAAAACACTGAATCCTGGCCGAATCCAGATGGATTATTGGTGTTTAAACACGAAGCATGTTTTAGTGAATGTGAAGAGATTAGCAGGCAGTTTAGCTAACAGGAGATTTAGCATGGATTCCAATAGCAATTTATGTGAAATGAGGGCCAAAGTTAATCAAACTGAGAGCAAAGCGATCTGATAAAGCGTGCCAATGAAAACATATTTGTCAGATTTCTGTTCTTTGAATTTTTTCAAAATGCCTCAGATACAAGCAAAACCTACCAAAAAGTGTAGGATGTTTCTTTTTGTAGCCAGCAGAATTCAGAGTACCTTATGTAATTCAAATCCTCAGCAGAGCTTCATTAATGTCTCATTTTAACTTGCTTTTTTTGTAGTTTTCACACAAAGATGATGCTTTATGCTATGAAAATCAGGTCAAGAATACCTATGATAATATATGTACATTCTAGTGTTTGATCAGTATGGGTTTGTTGATAGCCAAAGCCAAAGCCAATATCCAGCGTGAATAGTAGCTAATACCTATGATAATATATGTACATTCTAGTGTTTGATCAGTATGGGTTTGTTGATAGCCAAAGCCAATATCCAGCGTGAATAGTAGCCGACAGTTTAATATCATAATTTAATGTAAAATAACATGTTACACCATATTTAGTTACTAAAAATACTCACTTCACTGACCAGTGTTGGTATCGTTAACTAAAACTATTAAAAAAGTGTAATATGTAAATTTAACTAAACAAAAACTAAATCCAAATAAAACTTTTAATTAATTGAAATAAAGCTGTTAATTCAAAGTTATTACATGAATTAACAATGCAATTAACTGAAATAAAATAAGTTTAAATTGAAATTACTAAAAACTAAAATAAAAATAAAGTTAATTAGAATTATTTAAAAACAAATAAAAGAAAATGACAAAAGCGCAAAACTAAATCTAAACTGAAATTAAAATAAAAACTGAAAATATTAAAAAAAAAGCTCATTCAAAATACCGCAAAATACTGTATGGTATATAAAATACCAAGTACTAAATCTTATATAGTATATAAATAAGAAAATGACAAAAGTAAAAATCTAAACTAAAAATAAATAAAAACTGAAAATATAAAAAAATAAAATAAAAAGTTAATTCAAAATATTACAAAATACTATGTGGTATATAAAATACCAAGTACTAAATCTTATATAGTATATATTATAATACTAAAATGACACTGCCATTGACAAGGCTGTCAAAAGATTTTTTTTTAAATGACACTAGGAGATTATGCATTGTATGTTTAATTTGCGTTTGATTTACTTTGATTCATAAATAAAATAAATTTAAACAAAGATTTACATATCTTTTATTCTTAGCCATTATTTACTCGCTTTCCAATAGGGCTGCACGATTATGACAAAAATCGTAATTGTCGATTATTCCCTTGAAATTGTAATTGCGATTTATTAATTACGATTATCACAATTTACGTTGAATGATGCTTATACAATTGTTTTATGCAAGTGCATGCCGTATTTTTATATGAAAATAAAC